CTCATAAATGTATGTGGTGTCTCATGCAATAGATGGAACCCGCGATTGCATCGACTGTCAACGGTGGAGAGACATGCGCCATGGAGACGGAGGACATTTTGAAGGGTTTTGCAGATGGCAGCAAGAAAGAGAATTCGGCTGGAGGGAACACCGCAGACTGTGCAGAAATGCTTGCAACAATATATGCACAGACTGCAGAGATGATGGGTGATGGTGATGAAACAGAGAATGACGCAGGAGGGAGCACTTGTGAGACGAAAAAGGTTAGGGAAGAGAGAGAGGAGAGAGGTCTGGGAAGCAGGGAATCTCTGACAGGGTGTATTGTGAAAAATGAAAATGTGGTGAAGACATCAGCAGGAGAAGATTACCCATATGACATTAATTGGGTGCCGGGTCGTGTTCAACCGGGTATTGTTGGAGGAGCGCCCTGCTTTTCGTTCAAAATCGATGGGACATGGGTTCCATTTCCTGCCCCCAAAATGAATACATGGCAAAACGTAACTCTGTCAATCGTGTTTGATGGAGTACTATGGTTGAACGATGAGGCAACACCACAAGAGAAAGGGCGATATGCATTGAAAATGTGGCGTGTTCTGGAGGCGCAGGGCGAGTTCAGGCTGAACGATTTTTTGTACGACAGTTTTGATTGCGGACAGTCATGTGTGATTGGTGAGAACGATGCAACAGGGAGTACGGCGTGCCACGAGAGCGATGCGAGGAGGGATCCTAGGTGAGGTTGGGTGCCATGTGCGATCCCGATTCCATGTGGCCGTGTGAGGATGATGATGCGTGATGCCATGGGAAATGTCTTGAGCACGCATTATGTGAATGACAACTTCTCCTTCAGGAACCTCGACAGGGAGGTCTCAGAAGACGAGAAGAAGGCAATGGCATGTCCTACCCATACTGCTGGCTGCTTTTTCCCGTCGCTTCGGAACCCTGTGGAGTTGGAGGTGGTTGAAGGGAAAGTATTTACTGGTGAGGATGGCAGCACATACATGCATACAAGAGGACAGAAAGCCACGTATGATGGACTATGCTCGCAGATTTGGGACCATGTCACAATGAGGAGTGACGTTCTGTCTGCCATGGACATTGGGGCCCATGTCATCCCTGAAGGACAGTTGCAGCAGCATATTGCCCCTGAAAAGTATGGCTATCGTGTCAATTGGGTCCCAGGATGTTTGCATCCTGCAGTGGTTGATGGCAAGGTGACGATGGCAGCAAGACTGCAATCAGGGCATTGGCTCCCATTGGGATGGATGCATGCAGGCATTGTGGAGCATTGGCAGTTCCTCGTGGTTCTGGCACGTGTCCCAATTTTCAATGTAAATGTAAAGGACCACGTGCTGGTGGTTGAACACGCAAAGCGCTGCTGGGAGAAGATAAGGGAGGAGGAGCATCAGATTGTGTGCGCGGGTTATGACTCCATGGCTGACCAGGGGATGTGGTCCATGGTTGAGGGGAGTTGTACGGGCCAAGAGCAGGGCGACGGTCAGAACAGATACATGGCTCACATTCGCCGCAGGCACGGTTGCACGACTGTTGTCGGTTGGGTCCCGGTCGTATGTCCCATGACATATGAGCATGGTGGAGACGTCACCATGAGATTCAGAGACCCGCTTGGTGTGCCTTTCCATCTGACCTACTCAGATGGACTCCTGCGAGACATTCGGTATCTGGCGGAGAATGACTTGGCGGGTTCATCGCAGTCAGGCAAAGGACAGAGAAGCGCTCAAAAATTTCTCGTTTGTCTGCCGACGTGGAGGGCCCATGTGGTCCTGGTCGCGTCGGGGGGTGCTCTGCAGCACAGGGTGACATGGGCGGCCCGAGCGATGTCGCGATGTCGTAGAGCCCAGGGAAGATGAAGAAGTGCACGTTGGAACCGCCACGTGGGCAGACGCCCGCAGGCAGAAAGAAGGTAAACCCCAAGGCGGTCCCAGCGACCGGAGACACCGCAGGTGCATGAACTCAGGTCCCCAGACGCCGTCGACGCCCCGAGATGGCAACTTTGGAGGAAATCATAAAGTTGCAACGATCCACCGACCTTTGCTTGGCTTTCAGGCCGTTCTTGCGGCTTGTGCGCGAGGTTGTGGAGGAGGACATTGCTCCGGGTATGGGCGTGAGGTTTCAGATGACGGCGGTGCGTGCTTTGATGGAGGCTGCCGAGGCGTACCTAGTCGCCAATTTCGAGAACACCAACAAGGTGGCCATCCATTCGAAGAGGGTGACGATCCAAGTCAAGGACATGAGACTGGTGGATAGGTTGTCGAAGCCTCGCTGGGTTGAGAAATATCAAGGTATGTTGGATGAGAAGGCGAGAGGTGAGGAGAGACAACAAGGGATGGAGGCCAGACAGGCGGAAAGGGATGGCAGTAGAGCAGGGGCAAAGAAGAGGAAAGCAGTGCCACGTAAGGGGGGGCGAGCGAAAAAAACGGCAGCGTGAGAATTCTACTGTGTGTGCTGCATAACGGTTGTCCTGTCGAATCGTGGACTCCGTGGAAGTCTTCGTGGTGTTAGGTGGGTTGATTAGGTGGAG